CTAACAGAGATGAAGGGATAGAGGGGGGTGAAATTGTGAGAACTTTGGGGGAGAGTGACCATAACATATTCGAATTCAATATAATGCAGACACAAGCAATAGAACAAAATTAAAATATTGTCTTATACATCAAGATAGCTGATTCCAACAAAGTTAGAGAGAGCTTGTGAAGGATTCCATGGATGAAAATCCTAAAGGGGAAAAAAAACCTAAAGCTTGGAAAATTCTGAAAAATGAGATTATAAAAGGCCATTCTACTACAATGCAATTGAAATGTCTATGGAGATTCTCAGTCATCCAGGTCATAGTTATCCCAAGCTGAAGAAGCTTCTTGGATGAGAAGCGAAATGTCTTCAAAGAAAAACAACAAAGACCAGTTGCCTCATGAAAAAGCATCTTTGGAAATGCAATTGAAAAAGAAAAATAAGAGCTCCAAGAAGGAACCAGCATGGTTGCATAAAGAACTCTCGGCTAAACTGAAAGACAAAAAAAGACAGATATAAAAAATGGAAAGAGAGACACATAATTAAGGTAAAATACCAGCATATACCCTGTGATGACTCCCCAGATGCTTCTCCAGCTGCTAGTTTGGAGGAGGATGAGCCGGTTCTGGGCACATCAGGAAGGGAGGAAGCTGAGGGCTATGAACCAGAGTGGAAGGGCCAAATACAGAGAAGCAACCAGACAAGCAGCTGGCTGAGCTAGAGAGAAGAGGCACAGCTTCAGCTGGGAAGCCCAAAGGCTTTGGATGGAGAGGGCACACAGCTGCAGCTGGTCAATGTAGATGAAGAAAAACTGCCCCCTTCTCTGAGAGCACATAGGACTGAGAGGAGGCAGGCACAAAGAAGGTCAACCAGGCTACTTCTGAGAAGGCAGACTTGCTCCTCTTGATGGGCTGCACTAGGAAGCAATTATTTAGTTCAGCAAGGGAAGTGAAACGATGCCGGGAAAAATATATCCATTTCCTTGCTGTGTGTTCTTACTTTGAACTTTGGATCATGCCTCTTCAACTGTGGATCTGCCTTTGCCTTGTGGCCTTGCTTTTGCTCTGTGCATTTGCCTTTGCCTTGGGGATTTGCCTTTGCTTAGGGACTTGCCTGTACCTTGGATGCTTTTGCCTGGTGTAATGGATTTGCCTTTTCCTTGTGGACTAGTGCTGGTTTCTTTTGAGTAACCTGTTGAACTCATTGGAGGTAAGCTGGTTAGCACAAGGAATTATGGGAGAATATTAATTCAGACTTGGAAGCCTTAATAAAGACCTGTGGGGTTGTGTGCATGTGAGTGGGACAGCACACTGACTCTGCAAAGATGAAGTCAGGAAAGCTAAGGCTCAGAATTAACTAAGACTTGCAACAATTGTAAAAAAAAAAGTTTCTTTCTACATGTAAAAAATAATAAAAAAATTCTTTCAACATGTAAAAAACAAGAAAAAAATCAAGGTAACAATTGGTCCAATAATAGGAGAAGATGGCAAAGAAATGATGAGCAGCAAGGAGAAAGCAGAGCTGCTTAACTCTTTCTTTGCATTTGTCTTCATGCAAAAAATAAAAATAGCCCAACCTACCAAAAACAGAATTGTAAAAAACAGGTTAGCAATACAAATTAAAATAGGCAAGAGAATGGTAAGAGAACACCATAGATAAGTTCAAATCACCAGGATCAGATGGATTATATCCCAGAGTTCTGAGGAAGCTGGCAGATGTAATTGTCAGTAATTACAGTAATCTCATAACCATTGTGCCGTATCTTCCAAAGACCCTGGAGCACCGGGGAACTACGAGATGATTGGAAAAGAGCTAATGTGATTCCCATCTTCAAAAAAGGGGGGAAAATGCATCCAGGAAATTACAGACCAATCAACCTGACATCAGTACCAGGGAAGATCCTGGAAAAGATAATCAAGTATCTGCAAACACCTAGAGGCAAACAACTAAATAACTAAAAGCCAATATGGGTTTGTCAAAAACAGATCATGCCAGACAAATTTTATTGCCTTCTTTGACAAAGTGACTAAATTAGTGGACCAGCAAAATTCTGTGGACTTATTGTAATTTACTTAGATTTCAGTAAGGCTTTTGATGAAGTAGACCACAACCTTGATAAGATAGAAAAATGTGGGTTAGACAGCATCACCACCAGATGGATTAGTAACTTGCTAAGTGACATTACTCAATGTGTGTTCCTTAATGGAACTGCATCTATGTGAAGGGAAGTATGCAGTTTGGCTTAGGCCGAGTATTCTTTAATATCTTCATAAACAATTTAGATGAGGGGATAGAAGGAGAATTCATCCAATTTTCACTTGACACTAAGCTGATGGGGATAGCCAACGCTCCAGAAGATAGGCTCAAGATCCAGAAGCATCTCAACAGACTTGAACACTGGGCCTTATCTAATAAAATGAAATTCAGTGGTGAAAAAAGTAGGATTTTATGCTTAGGCAAGAAAAACCAAATGCACACGTATAAAATAGGTGGTACCTTGCTCAATAACAGTAACAATGGAAGGGATCTAGATGTCCTAGTGAACAACCACTTAATTATGAACCAGTAGTGTGGTGTAGTCACTAAAAAAGCCAGTGCAGTTTTAGGCTGCATTAACAGAATCAAGATCATGTGAAGTGTTATTACCATTTTATAATGCCCTTGGTGAGACCATATTTGGAATATTGCATCTAGTTTTGATCATCACAATATAAAAAAGACATTGAGGCTCTAGATAGAATGCAGAGAAGAGCATCAAAGATGATTACAGGACTGGAGACTAAACCATATGAAGAAAGGTTACAAGAATTAGATATATCTTGTCCAATCAAAAGAAGGATAAGGGGTGATATGATGGTAGTGTTCCAATATTTGAGGAGCTGATACAAAGAGGAGGGTGTCAACCTATTCTCCAAAGCACCTGAAGGCAGAACAAGAAACAATGGATGGAAACTAATCAAGGAAAGAACCAATCTAGAAACAAAGAAAAATTTCCTGACAGAACAATTAATCAGTGAAATGGCTTGCCTTCAGAAGTTGGGGGATGCTCTATTACTGGAGGTTTCTAAGAAAAGATTGAAAAGCCCAGGGCTTTTTTTCTCATAGAACGCCCAGAACGAAGTTCCAGCACCTTTTTTGGATGGAACCTTGTAGGGTAGGCAAGGTGGGTTGTATGACATGTGTGAGTTCCGGCACCTTTTTTTTTTTTTTTTTTAGAAAAAAAGCACTGAAAAGCCATTTGTCTGAAATGGCATAGCAGGGGGTTGGACTAGAAGACCTCCAAGGTCCCTTCCAACTCTGTTATTCTGTTAACAATATACAGAATTTGCTAATTATTTGATTCCCATTATATAAGAAGAGTATCCTTTATGAGTTAGTACAAGTGTTTCATAGTATACTATTGACATGAAGTATGAAAGAATAATAAAAAAATCATTAGTATAACTGATTAGTCTTCTAAATATTGTACTTGATTAAGCTGATGCCATCAGATATATAATATTTGTATTTCAGTTTTAGAATGTCCTTTAAAACTTTGGGAAAGTTAGAAGGCTGAGGAGGGAGAACCACTGGGCAAATGCTAAGAGCAATTTTTTTTCTGTGAGTAACCTATGGTGCTCAGTAATAGCTATATGTTGTAACTAATGAAAAATCATAGTTCTTCTCATTTGCTAAATATCATTATTATTAATTGTAAAAAAAACTTTCTAAAAGCATTTTGCTATCAAATAATTCCCGGCAGGATGTATATATAATTTCTACTTCCCCAAAGAAGGTGTTGAAGGCAATTAGTTTTGATAAATATAAAATATTATTTTTCCTTATCATCACCTCAATATGAGCACTTTTATCCTACTAGAGGAGAGTGAGTGATGAAGTGGTAAGAGCCTAATGATGTAAGATATAAGAATATAGGCCAAATGAACTGGATGGCTAAAATACCTATCCAGGAAAAGTCCAGAGACTATCCTTAATGTTCCCTAAAAATAGTTTAATTCTACTCCTATGCATTGTTTATTACTCTCCCCAAATGTTCTTCCGATCCATTGTATTTCACTTCACTATATTATAGTGACCTTTATCTCAGACTTGGAAACAATATAAAGACAGAGAAGGGGGGGGGAATTTGCAAGAGCAGTCTTCCTGATATTTTTCTGACTTACATCTAATAAACTGACTCAATCAATTACAATTGCAGCTGTGCAACTCCAATAAGGGGGGGGGAGGGCAATTTGTTTGCCTCAACTATATCATATTGACATACTGAATTTGAGATGCAATGGGCTATCTGAAATATGGCTCTAAGGAGTCTGGACTACATTCTTTCCAGAGGAATAAAAGAGAAGTAAGGTCCCAGCTGAGCATTAAAGAGTAATTGTACATGAGCCTTAGCTGAATATGACTTCAGTGCTGCTGGAATATACTGTTCTATCTGGAAAAATAAAAAGATTCAATTGCTGCTGCTGTTTTGGATGACATACTATAGGTTTGCACTGCATTTAGTGCAGGAGGCAATAAGTATATTAAGTGTAATGTCTCCTTTGCAGGAATATGAGATATCATAATATCTACATCATTTGCTTGCCTCAAAGAGATTATATATCTCCGAGTTCTTCACTTAATAGCAATCTTACCAAATAAGAAACTCCCACTAAGTTTAATTTAGGATATATACTTTTGAACAGAAATTGGAGCTCTTCTGTAGTTGTTAGTGTTTGCTCATAAAGATGCAACAGTCCTTTGGATAAAAAAAATGTAAGGGAAGATCGCGATCTGTTTATTATGTTCCTGTGATGTTCTTTCTGATGTGATACTTAAAAGAAAGAGCATGGTTCATCATACAGGGAAACTCTCTATAGAACAACTTCAGCCTAGTACTTATTTTAGAGTCATGCAAGGTATTTATGCTTTTTTGTAAAAAATAGTAATAATAAAATGGTATCAAAATAGTATGTATGTGAATATCCTAATCTATATCAACATCTGTATTATATTTATTTGTGTTTTCCATTATAGGGCTGTGTTTTTTACTGGGGATTTACTTCTTGGTTTGCTTACTACATCAACCACCCCCAGTATACTCCTCCATGTAAGTAGAAGAGAGGGATGTGCTTAAGTAACAGATCTAGACAGCATTCTTTTCACATATTCTCATGACCAGAAATGATTTACTTTTGCATTGGTATTTTTTAAAAATAACTTGTATAGTGAAAATACTTATTTTTGTAAACATTTGCTAGAAGAGGAATTCCATCCCATGTTTTCTCTCCATCTCATATTCCTGATGTGGAAAAGCGATGGAATTTTTCCTGGGATGTGAGGCTCATGCTAATGCATAATGTTTTGATATAGAAGCCATAAATATTGTAACATAATTACAGATGCATTTGTACAGGAGAAACATAGCTGATCTCATTGAATTGATCCAGTCTGGAGCCCATCTTGGGGTGGGGGCTTCCCATCAGATATTCAATATCTTAATTGGTTTATTCCAGAATATGTCTGAAATGGAGTAATCCAATAAACTGCAGGAAATCTGTAGCAAAATAATAATTACGTATGTAAGATAAATCAGTATTTTTGTTTCTTTTTGTTGGGTTAAATATGTAGAAATATATTGAGTTAAATATTGTGAATTAAGCATTTGTTTTTGAGTACAGATCGATGGACAAATCACAGTGATATCAAAGAATTAGGTTTCCAAACAGAAAAAAATCCTATGAATTATATATCAATTATATATGATTGTGGATATTAGAATATTTCTCTAGTATCTACAACCATCTAAGCCTGATATGTGATTTTATTGTATGTTCTAGCATTTGGAAACAAGCAAGTTTCTTTGGCTACCTTTGGATTTCTGGTATGTATAGGAAAGCGGCTGAAGAATAAATATGAGTATGTAAAATATCTAGTATATATAAATGTCTTTAGAGAAATGACACTTGTGGAGGATTTTTTTAAATGTTCCTTTGAAGGCCCTATGTTTTGTATTATCTGAATTTGTTTCTGAATTGAAACTTAAAAGCTGCCATTCTAATGTTGATATCAAAACTATAGTAGTTGATCATGTAAGCATTTTAAAGTACATACAAAGATTTTCTTCATAAACTACAACTTCTTAAGGTTAAAACGTTTTAATTTGCTAAGTCAAAACTGATTGCAGGCTATGCAGTACACAGCAAAAAATGCTTAACTAATTACATGCATTTATCCTTATAAATCACAACATGAGAACCAACTGCATAAGTCAGGGATGGTTCCAAATGAGAAATCACTGTGCCATCATCCTTAATAGGATTTTATCAAAGGTCAAGATGTCACTGTCTTCCATTTGGAACATTAGCTTCTTTTCTCATGTTTAGTCCATCTTACCTTCTCTCCACCCCACTTTTTAAAAGAGGGGAATATATAGCCTTATGAGTGTTGTAATTTATAATCTAACACTTTTTGGTTGGGCTTTTTGTTCATTTAAGCTGGGAACCCTCAACCTATTTAATGTTAAATGCTAGCTAACTCTGGAGCCAGGCACACTAGCCATTAATAGTTATATATTAGCTGTGTAACATTTCATAAAAATGGCAGTGAGTACTCCATAAATCACTGGTGAAGAAAGCCTAGAGGACACAGTTCATGTTGTTACTCTTGAAAAATTTTTACATTTTGTAAGTAGCATATTTGTTTTTCTTGATATTCCTGATATTCATGTTCTTGAACAGTATGAGAATATAAATAGGGTTCTTCTGCTTTTTGCTAACCTAAAAGTTCAAGACTCACCTGATAATATATTAACAGGTTACAAAATTATAGTGTCCAAATGTACAAATAAAATTGAAATAAATTTGAAATATTTTGCAGGTATGTGAAGCTGGAAACCATTTTATCAATGTGGCTTTGGTTCATCAAAATCAGTCAGGTTTGTAGTCTATTTTTCAGTTCTAACTTTTAATATGTTTGGGAAATAGATTTGAGTATCATAAACAGATGTAAACAGATAATTGGTAAAGGACAATGTTTTTTTTTTCTAATTCTCCAAAGTCTTCTCTTAATGTTGGCAGGAGGCCTATCAATGAAAAATGTTCTCTTGTGGTTCTCTTATAGTTCCTGATGTTCTTGAATATATTTAAAAGTCTATTAATTGTACAGTAAAAAGACTTTTTAAAAAAATTTTGGAACAAAAGTTAAGCCTTATCACTCAGAAAGTTAAGCCTTCATACAAAGACTGATTGCAGAATGACTGTGTTCTGAAAATGCTGATTAAATATTATTATAAATATATATTATTTGCATTTCTGAATGATGAAGAATATTTATGTGGTTACTAAAAACCAGCAAGAACTTGATGGCACATAATCACACTTCTGAAATGTTGAAGATGGACAAAATTACTGTGTTATTCTTTGAAGAATCTTGGAAAACCAGTCTATCACACAGTGTGCATTGGCTTATTTATTTCTTTAATCCACTTTTATTATTTTTATAAATAATTCAAGGTGGCAAACATACATCATTGTTCTTCCTCCTTTTTTCTCCACAACAATAACATTTCAGATGGGTTGGGCTGAAAGTGAATGGCTGGCCATAGTCACCCACTCAGCTTTCATGCCTAAGATAGGTCTAGAACTCACAGTTTGCTGGTTTCTAGGCCAATGTCTTAACCATTAGACCAAACTGAACATAGTCATTCTCAAAAAGGTATTCACATAATGCTAAACTTTATTATGTAAGAACACTTGATACCATTGACTCACTGAAGCATTAAGAGTCTTTCAATATTAATGTATTTAGAATATATTACTTATAGTAAAGTAGAATTGCAGAGTTCCCAAATGTTGTGTTGTTTAAATAAATTCCCATCGTTACCCAACAAGGCACAAACTGGATAGTACTATGCAAAGAAGGCTGCATCTGAAGTCAGGACAAGAAGCAATGGATAGAAGCTTGTGAAATGGAGATCCAGCCTGGAACTAAGGAGAAATCTCCTGACAGCAGTGAGGACAATTAACAAATGGAACAACTTTATCCCAGAATTATTAGGTATACCATTGCTGGAGGTTTTCAAGAAAAGATTAAACAACCATTTGGCCTGGATGATATAAACCTCCTGACATGGCAGGGGTTAGACTAGAAAACATCCAAGGTCTCTTCCAGCCCTATGATTCTAACAAATAATAAAATCATTGTGGCATCCTAGATTGAAGATTTCTTGACGTTCTAGAGCAGCCTTCCTTTCATAGTACTATCAATTTTGTGCCTTGTTGTTATGATAGGAATTGCAGTCCAATACATTTAAAGAGCACTGTTGAGTCCGTGGCGGGAAAATAGACACGAGAAGCAGCTGGAGTTCTCAGTTTCTTTTATTCAGCGTTCAGCTTACAGGAAGATGGCTTCAGCCTCGCCCAAACGCCTCGCAGCCTCTTATATAGGCAACTCCCGGGTAAATGGGTTACTTTTCCCGCGCCAGCACCCGCGCATGCGCACGGCGCTGGCGACAGCCTGTCTGGTCCCGGGCAGCTTTGCACCTGCCCGGGACTGCCTGCAAACGCCCGAGCCGTTTGCAAGGCTCGGGACATAACACCCCTTTCCCCCGGGCTAAAACTACTACCAACATACAACATTTATTTTATACGACAATTTGCTCCCCAGTGCTCCCACTGTTTACTGGCTTTTGCCTTGCCAGCAATGTTATGTAATCTTCTAGGTACTTAGGAGATTTCTTTGCTCTCTGTGACCTTCTTAGCTCTGGGTTACTGGCATAAGTTCCCTGACTGGAGGGAGGCGTGAGCCTGTTCTCTCTATTGTGCCCTGGTGTCTTCCAAGGACTGTGCCCCGATGCCTGGCCTGCTTGCTTGCCCACCGGGCTCGTCAGGCCAGGGCTTCTGTTGCTTTGTGACCTGGTTGTCCTACCTAGCTGTAGACCCTCAGGCCCCTTGAAGTGATAGCCACTGCTGGGCGTCTCTGTAGAACCTCCTAGGTCAGTCCAAGACCTGTCAGGAGGCTGTCCATTCCCTGAACCCCATTCTGTGCTCGGGCTCGTGTGGGTTTCTGTACTTTCCCAAAACTCAGGTGTTCCCTGATTTGTGCTAGGGGTGTTGTAGTCGGGACTTGGCTCCTCGACTAGCTCTGTGTATGTTTGACCCCCTGTAGGATTTGGGGTAAGGTCAGGCCAACCTTGGGAATTGTGTGCCAGCTCTCTTGCGGGGAATGATTTGTTGGGATGCCCCCGGGTATCCTCCGTTGCTGGAGTGCTGTGTGATGTGTGTGGAAAGTGAGTATGCCCCCGGGGTGACTCCCTGGCTGGAGTAGGCGTGAGTGCCTGTTGTGTGGGTAAGCTCCATGACTTTCTTTTCGGAGCAATTGCGGAACCCTGGGATGGGCCGTTTGTGGCTCCCTCAGTGGAGATGGGCAGTAGCTCTTGCCCTTCCCTTTGCTCCAAAGAGTCCCCCTCCCCCCCTGGAAAAGACCCAGGAGTCTCAGCAGAAAAGTCTCGCCTAGAGCGAAGTTGGTCGATGTGCCGACGCAGGACACGACCGTTGTCCAGGGCAACCTCGTAGGAGAGAGGACCTGTGATCCTGGACACAGAAGCGGGGACCCATGTATGACCAGGCCCGTAATTGCGAGCCCAAACCGGGGCACCCACAAGTAGTTGTCTAGGTGCCCTAGGATGTGAGGTAGATGAAGGCAGTCTGTCCGGATGCAACCGGTCAAGTCTAGTAGTAAGTTGGCGCCCCCAACGAAGTTCAGCTGGACTTCTCCCTGTAGAAGTGGACGGTGTGGTGCGATAAGAAAGGAGAAAGTCAGCCAACCTGTGATGCCAGTCCCCGTAGGTGAGTCTCTTCAAGGCGTCCTTTGCGATGCGCACCATGCGTTCAGCCATACCGTTGGTGGACGGGTGAAAAGGCGCAGACGTGGCATGACGAATCAGGTTTGCCTGTAAGAAAGCTTGGAATTCGGAGGAGGTGAATTGAGGGCCGTTGTCGGACACAATGACATCTGGCAGCCCGTGTGCAGCAAAAATCCCCCTCAGTACCTGAATAGTCTTTGCAGTGGTGGTGGATGAGACAGGCACAACCTCAAGCCATTTTGAATGGCTGTCAACAAGGACCAAGAAGAACTGGCCCTGAAAGGGCCCAGCGTAGTCAATGTGCACCCTAGACCATGGGGACTGTGTTTCCTCCCATCTATGCACAGGAGCTTGGGGCATCTCTGGGCGAGATCGTTGGCACAGGTGGCATGCGTGTACCCGTAGCCTCAATACCTTTATCTAAACCAGGCCACCACAAGTGGCTTCGTGCAAGAGCCTTCATACGAACAATGCCAGGATGACCCTCGTGGAGGGATTCTAAGACCCTAGTCCTCATTGAGGTGGGAATGACAACTCTGTTTCCCCAAAGCAGACAACCCTGAGAAAGGGACAGTTTGTTCCTTTTGGACCAGAAACTCTGAAACTCAGGACTAGGGCAGTGCTCAGGCCACCCGGACAGGACCCAGGAGCGGACACGTGAAAGTATGTGATCTGTACCTGTTTCAGCGGTAACATCCCTGGCGCTAAGAGGGAGCTCGGGCAAGGCTTGGATTGAAAGAATGTTGACAGCTGGCGCGGGGTCAGCTTCTACTACTGGCAGAGGCAACCTACTGAGGCCATCAGCATGGCCCATTTCTTTCCCAGGCTTGTGGAGTAATGAAAAATCATATGCAGACAAAAAAATAGACCACCTAAACATTCTAGGGGAAATGATGTGGGGAGTCTGCTTACGTGTGGTAAACAGTCCCAGCAGAGGCTTATGGTCAGTGAAGACCGTGAAATGCCTGCCATATAGAAAATCGTGGAATTTTTTAATTCCAGCAACAACAGCCAGAGCCTCCCTGTCTATCTGAGCGTAGTTGCGCTCGGCAGAAGACAGTGTTCTGGAGTAGTATGCAATAGGAACCTGAGTTCCATCAGACCTGAGGTGACTCAGGACAGCTCCAACCCCGTAGGGGGACGCATCACAAGCGATGCACACAGGAAGAGACTCGTTGAAATGTGCAAGAACACTGTTAGAAGTGAGCAAGGCCTTGACTTCTTTAAAGCAAGCCTCATGTGCTTGTGACCACAGCCACACAGCTTGTTTGTCTAGTAGCCTGTGAAGAGGCTCAGCTACACTAGCTTTATGTGGAAGAAAAGAATTGTAGAAATTCAGGAGGCCTAAGAAGGCCTGAAGTTCGGCCTTAGACTTTGGCCTGGGTGCTTCTAAAATAGCAGTTAGTTTGGATTCAGCAGGATGAATCCCAGCAGCATCGATTTTGAATCCCAGAAATTCAGTAGAAGGCACCCCAATCTTGCATTTGTCTTTTCTGAGCTTGAGGCCTGATTTCCTGAATCTTAACAGGACAGCCCTAAGCCTTTCAGCTAGAATGTGTGTGGAGTCTCCTGCAATCAAGACATCGTCAAAGTAGGGGCAGACCCCTGGTATACCTCGTAGTGTGTTTTCCATTACGCTTTGGAAAATCCCAGGAGCGACATTCACTCCAAACTGTAGCCTTTTTACCTTAAAGGCTCCCCTGTGGGTCACAATGGTCTGAGCTATGGCAGCATCATCATCAACAGGCAGCTGTTGATATGCTTGAGCTAGGTCAAGCTTTGCAAAAACACGCCCCCCCTTGAGAGAGGCCAGGATGTGACTGACCACAGGAACAGGATAGGCATGTTGCTGCAATGCCTTATTGAGTGTGCATTTGTAATCAGCACAAATACGAATGTCCCCATTTGCCTTTAGAGGCGTGACAATGGGGGTCTCCCACGGGCTGGAATCAACAGGTTCTAGGATTCCCTGTTGGATTAGTTTGTCTAATTCAGTGTCAATCTTACTTTTTAAAGCAAAAGGGACCCTTCTTGCTTTAATCCTAATGGGAGTGACAGTGGGGTCTAGCTTTAAGGACACAGGTGGTCCTTTGAATGTGCCCAGCTGGGGGCTGAAAACATCTGCAAATTCTTTGCAGACTTCCTGTAGGTCGAGTGTTTGTAAGCTGTTGAGTCCTGTGACGTGTATCCCCAGGGCCTCAAACCAATCGAGTCCTATGAGACTCGTTCGTTCACCCCCTACTACTAATAAGTCTAGTGGACCTTCAAAACTCTTGTATTGCTCGTTAAGGGTGGCCTCCCCCTTAACACACACTCTTGAGTTCTGAAAATCTGTTAATACAATATCAGAAGGCCTTAACTTGGCCTTAGTCCCACTACTGGAACAAATCTTCCTAAATGTATGCAATGAAATGATGGAAAGGGCAGACCCTGTGTCTAGTTCCATAGATAATGGAACCCCTTGTAGCTTCACGTTGAGTGACAGCTTTTTCTTCATGGGCTTGTGTGTGCCTGTCCTACAGATGCTTCTTCGCGAAGCGCAAAAACCTACCCTATTCTGGCTGGGGAGTCTGGTACCCTTCAGGCGTTCTTCTTGGGGTTGTGCCTTTCGTCGGCCCAGACACACAGCTGCAATGTGCCCTTGTTTGCCGCATGCCCGGCAGGTAGCGGAGCGGAACTTGCAGTCGGTTCTCCTGTGGCGACCTCCACAGCCGATGCACTTGAGCGGAGCCGAAGAGCTTCCCTTCTGGTTTCCTTCCTTCGCGGGGTGTAGACGGTCGACTTCCTCGTCCGGATCCTCCTCGGAGTTTCATTGGACGTCTTCCTGGTGCACGGACGCACCCTCTGCACTGCTTCTGATCGGCCGCATGTTCTTGACGGCGCCGCCTGCTGCTTCTTCTGCGGTGACTTCCCTTAAGGCGTCTTGGAAGGATAATTCTTCCTTAGCGAAAAGTCTCTGTTGTAGCTCTCGATGCCTTAACCCGCACACGAATCGGTCCCTCAGTCGTTCCTCGAGGTCCTTGAACTCGCAGGGCTTGGCGGCCTTCCGTAACGCGGCGATGTATTCCTTGGCTGACTCACCGGACCGTTGATCCCTCTGTTCGAAGGTGTGGCGCCATGAAATAACGGACACCTTGGGGTGGAAGTGCTCCTTCAGCAGCTTCTTCAGGTCTGCGTAGCTTACAGACTCTACTGGGACAGATGCTGCAAGGTTTTCTGCGATTTCGAAGGCGTCTTGGCCACAAACGCAAAGCAGGGTGGCAGCCTTCAAGCTATCTTCCGTCACTTGGTTTGCCTTGAAGTAGTTCTCCATTCTGGATACGTAGGACTCCCACCGCTCTGGATGTGAGACGTCGAATTTCGAAAGCCTTCCGATTTTCGCCATCTTCGGATCTTCAGGAGACGGGTCTATCAGCCAGCCTACCCCCGAATGCGCACCGGATTGGCGGGCAGCTGCCGAGTCGACGCCGTTCCTCTTCCGCCGCTCAGGACTCCTTGGGTAAGCTTACACTTCTTCCTTTCCAGGTAGTGCAAGGCATCCCACCTTCGTCGCCAGTGTTGAGTCCGTGGCGGGAAAACAGACACGAGAAGCAGCTGGAGTTCTCAGTTTCTTTTATTCAGCGTTCAGCTTACAGGAAGATGGCTTCAGCCTCGCCCAAACGCCTCGCAGCCTCTTATATAGGCAACTCCCGGATAAATGGGTTACTTTTCCCGCGCCAGCACCCGCGCATGCGCACGGCGCTGGCGACAGCCTGTCTGGTCCCGGGCAGCTTTGCACCTGCCCGGGACTGCCTGCAAACGCCTGAGCCGTTTGCAAGGCTCGGGACATAACAAGCACCATGTTTGGGAAATCTGCAATTATACTATGTTATAAATACTATTTACATTTAAATATCATTTATATAAACAGTCTAGTAAAAAGAAGGACTAATAGCCGTGTTCCAATATTTGAGGGGCAGCCACAAGGAACCTATTTTCCAAAGCACTAGAAGGCAGGACAAGAAACAGCTTGTTTGGAAACTAATCAAGGAGAGATGCAACCTAGAACTAAGGAGAAATTTCTCAACAGTGAGAACAATTAACCAGTGGAATGGCTTGCCTTAAGAAGTTGTGAGCGCTCCATCACTGGAGGCTTTTAAAAAGAGACTGGACAGCCACTTGTCTGAAATCATATAGGGTCTCTTGCTTGAGCAGGGGTTTGCACTAGAAGACCTTCAAGGTCCCTTGTTATTCTATTACTACACTAAAAATACATTAATACTATAAGACTCTTAATGCTGGATCATACTTAAATGGTGATCCACTAGGATGTCTAGATCAGTGGTTCTCAACCTTTCTAATGCCGTGACCCCATAATACAGTTCCCCATGTTGTGGTGACCCCCAACCATTTATACATCACCGGGTGCCAGGGGCGTGGCCAAAGAAAAGGGAAAAAAATGGCGGACAGCCTTGTTTGGCGACCCCCGTGAAATGGTCGTTTGACCCCAAATGGGGTCCCGACCCACAGGTTGAGAACCACTGGTCTAGATTCTTCACAGTTACTATTGTTGGGCTGGGCAAGTACCATCTATTCTATACCTGTGCATTTGATTTTTCCAGTCTAGGTGCAAGACGTTTTTTTCCATAGCCTTATGATAATATTGCTACTTTACATAAATACACATTCATAGTACACATTCTACCCTGACAGAGCTACCCTTAAACATTTTGAATGAATATAATATCTTTCCTGGAATCATGTATAAACTTATAAAATGAAGGAGAATCTTTTGAAAGTCCATCCAAACTATGGGAAACCACAATAGTTAAAGAACAGTTGGAATTGAATTACATTTATAACATAAATACCTGAACACAAAATAAACTTATAATGAAAATACCTTTTCTGTAAATGAAAATAGATATGCATGCAATGGAATAAATAAATCTCTTCTACTTCTGGAACTCAATATTTCCCTTTTTCTTTTTCCTGACAGGAAATAAAGTATCTTTTCCGAATCCAACACTCAATCCTTTCACATGGATTTTTACACTTGTTTCCTGTCCAAATTACACATATGAGGTATCCTTCCTTCCTTCCTTCCTTCCTTCCTTCCTTCCTTCCTTCCTTCCTTCCTTCCTTCCTTCCCTCCCTCCCTCCCTCAAAAGAATTGACTTTTAAAATGGCCAATATTTTTTGAAAAAGTGTTTACACAGTAATAGTGGAAGGGAATATTGCTACTAATGATGTTATCTATTTTGATAAATAAAATAGTGAAGCTCAGAGAGCACCATGATTCCACAGTAATAATGTTCATGACTTGCTTACCTAGTCAATTAACATTCCCACCCATATGCCAGTCATGTTTTTCAAATGTCTGGTCATTCTTTTCACATTCTCTCCTCCTTCAACTTTCTGGAACAATGAGCCTCATAGTGATCCCAGTTCTGCTCTCTGTCTTTTTGCCTCCTACTCACTAGATGATTCACACATGTTAAACACCACACCCAATGACATTTGGGTGGCCTGTCAGCATTCACCAACACTTGGCAATTGTTCTCAAAAACATGCCCCACTCTCATTTGATTTTCAGAGTCTGTTGAGGTTACATAAGAATGTGGTGTGGTCTTGCATGATCTCTGGAAGTCACACTAGAGGGCTATTGTAAGGACCCACTTCAATCCACATCTTAAGAAAGCAGAACTCTTGGAAATGGTTTCTTCCAACAGGGACTTTTATTAAGAGAAATAGATAGCAGGCATGATAGACAGGATCTGAGGGATTCCTTACAAATTGATGTTTTAAAGTGTCCCTAAGCAGCCCCCCACCCCGGTAGTTCTTCCAGGCAATTCAGACCGGCAGATTTCTAAGTGTTAACTCCAGGAAAGATCACATCAATCTGGCTCCGTTGGCACGATCATTCAACATCTTCTCACACAGAACCCAGATGCTGCATCTTCCCCCCCCCCTCACACACACTTTCTCTCACTGGCCGGTAAGGAGGAGAAGTTCAGAGGGGCAAAGGATGAAAGGCAAATGGTTACATTGTTATGGTTAGCAGACCCAAAGCGAATCAACAAAAGGTTACTTTGTAGTGAATAGAGAAAGTGAAAGTAATAAAAACATGCATACCCCCCTCCCCCTTAGTAGTATGACAGGATCCAGGAGAGAGTAAGAATTGGTTTTAAATCAGAGAAGATAGATAGAAATGAAATATAACTGGATTCTGACATCCTGCCCCCGTTAAAAATAAGAGAGATCCACCTGTAAAGAAAACAAAACAGGTATAAAAGTTAGTCTGGCTTGTTAGGATACTCTGTATGAAACTTCTTTAATAGCTTTGGGGCTCTGACATGACGTTTATGGACCCACTCATTTTGTGAGGAGGGGAGGTGTTTGCATGCTACTAGGTATTGAGTTGTCCCATGATATCTCCTAGAGTCCAGGATTTCCTTTATCTTGAAGTGTTGTTCTCCTTCCACTATGATTGGAGGTGGTGGTGGTGGGGATTTTGGGCCATAAGGTTGACTGTTGTTCTCTTTTCAACAAACTGCAGTGAAAAATAGGGTGTATTTGCCTGATATTTTTGGGTAATTCTAATTCTACTGTTACTGGGTTTATGATTCTTTTAATTGGAAAAGGTCCTATATATTTTGGTCCAAGTTTTTTACAGGGTTTTAGGGATTTTAGGTATTTTGTAGATAAATATACCATTTCTCCTATAATGAATGGTGTGGGTTCAACTCTTTTTTTTATCTGCTTGTGCTTTGTATGCTTGCCTAGCTTCGTCTAAGGCTTTTCTAACTATTGGCCAGGTGTTTTGTAATTGTTTTATCCATTCTTTCAGTGATGGGATTGCCAGTTCGTTTGGCATTAGTTCTGGCATGGAGTTGAAACTTTGACCAGTAGCTATTTGAAAAGGAGTGTAATCTGTGCTGGAGTGAACTGCATTATTGTAGGCAACTTCTGCAAAAGGGAGTAGGTGCGTCCAATTTGTTTGCTGGAAATTAATAAAGCATCTTAAGTATTGCTCAAGTACTGAATTAGATTTCTCTGCTTGACTGTTGCCTTGAGGATGATGACTAGATGTCAGTCCCTGCGTGGTCCCTAAAAGGGATAAAAATTCCTTCCAAAATGCAGATGTAAATTGCACTCCCCTATCAGATATGATGTGTTGGGGTGCCCCGTGCAATCTGTAAATATGCTGCACAAAAAGTTTCGCTGAGGCTTTTGCGGTGGGAATCTTTTGGAAAGGGATAAAGTGCACCTGTTTGGAAAACAAGTCCGTGACCATCCAGATGACAGTATTCCCATTGCTTTCTGGTAATTCCACTATATAATCCATGGCTATTTCCCTCCAAGGGGCTGAGGGAGTCGCCACTGGTTGTAACAGTCCAGGCGATTTCCCTTGCAAGCTCTTAGCAGTCAATGCATGTTGGGTAGCTGACCACGTAATTTTCTGTCCTTTTTCATGGATGGCCACCAAAATTGCCTTTTAATTAAGTGTAATGTCTTTACAAATCCAAAATGCCTTACTGATTTTGTGCCATGGCACAGCTGCATGAATGTGCCCCTCTGGGTGCTTGGTATATATCACTTTTCCCCCACCCAAGGCAATCCATCTTTAATTGTGGGCATGTATCTATTTTTCTGGAACCATTCATCTTTTTCCAAAGTTTTCTGAAATTCGATTCCAGCTGGCTACCCAGCTGCGGTTTTAATTTAGCCTGGGCCCTGGTAGTTACTAGCGCTGCCAGTTGTGTTTCTGCCACAAGTGGTTTAGAATCGGTGGCTCATGTGCTGTTACATTCTTCTCCCCCCCCCCCGCAAGTGCTTGAGCGTAAAGTGGAGTTGGTGAAAATGCTGGGACCAGTGGGCTTGCTTAGGGTTGAGCTTCCTGGGTGTTTTCATGGCTTCCAGGTTTTTGTCGTCTGTCCACACCTGAAAAGGGATTTTGTTCCCTTCAAGGAACTGGTGCCAAGTAAGTAATGACCAATGTATCCCATATGCCTCTTTCTCCCACACTGGCCAGTGCTGTTCTGTTTTGGTGAGTTTCTTGGACATATACGCACAGGATTACAATACCCCTTCGTCATTTTCTTGTAATAGTACAGTCCCCACTGCCACATCACTTGCATCCGCCTGTATTACGAAGGGCTTATCCGTGTCTGGATGCCTCAGTACGGGTTTGGCAGAAAAGAGTCTCTTTAATCTCTCAAATGCCGCTTGGCATTCCATTGTCCATTTTAGTGGCTGGCTAGGTTTCACTGAGGATTCTCCCTTCATTTTTAGTAAGTTTATGAGGGGCAGGGCTATCTGGGCAAATAAGGGAATGAATTGATGGTAAAAGTTTGCGAAACACAGGAAACTTTGCAGCTGCTTTCTTGTGCAAGGTGGTGCCCATTCTAATACTATTCTGACCTTCTCTGGGTCCATTTCAATGCCCTGTGGGGATATGCGGTAACCCTATTCTTTCCTGGTGGAATTTGCATTTTGATAATTTAGTATACAGGTGGGCAGATTGCAGTTTCTTTGAAACCACTCTGACTAGGTTGACATGTTCCTCTTTGGATTTGGTGAAAGTAAGGATGTCATCTAAGTAAACCAGAACCCCCTTAAAAAGGTGCTCCCTTAGTACCTCACTGATTAATTGCATAAATACTGTGAGGGGTCCCTGTAGTCCAAATGGCAAAACTTTGAATTGGTAGCACCCCAATGGGCAATTAAATGTGGTTTTCCATTCATCTCCTTCCTTAATTCTAACGCAGTAATATGCTTCCCTTAGATCTAGTTTAGTGAAAATTCTTCCTTTCGAGGGGTAGGATAACATGTCCTTCATGAGAGGTAGGGGGTATAGGTTGCTTTCACTGATTGCATTCAATAGGCGGTAGTCTACACATAAGCGTAAAGTGCTGTCCTTCTTCTCTCTAAAGAGAACCAGGGTGGCCAATTTAGGCTTGGCACGTTCGATGAATCCCCTTTCTAGGTTTTTATTTATGAATCTTTCCATTTCCTCCTTCTCCTTAAGACTCATGGAATATAGTCTGGGCTTCGGGAGTTTTGCCCTGGGCTTGAATTCTATGTCGCAATCTGTGGGTCAGTGAGGGGGGAGCTCATCTGCCCTCTCACTGAAAACTTCAGCAAGATCTCTGGCAATGGCCCGGAATTCTTGCGTATATTCAGCTACCGGGCATCTGCCTTGTCTCACCGTTTTGATTCTTTCGCGGGCTTTGCAATCAGCCAGGGGTCCTCAAACCACCTTCTCAGAGAGGACATGAAATGGTTGAAATCGTTGAGCACTGAGACATTGGAATTGTGCAAATTCAACACCCAATCTGCGGCCAATCTGTCCAGAGCAGATTGCACAATACGGATGCAGTCTTTGTCATTAGGGATGTGCCGCCTATATTCCTCTATGTAGTTGAAGACTTGGGTTAGGAAAAACTCCAAGCATATTGGTTCCCTCTTGAATTTTGCATCCAGCAGCAGGAGTCTTTGAATGGATTGGTGCCTTCGCCGTCAGTGGTATTGTTTTCCATCCGGATCACCATCTACAGGTTGGCGGGGAATGGGGGCTGCTGAAATGGTCACTACTGGATCAGTGGATGTCCCCGGGACTACAGGTTCCAATTACCCCTCAGTGTCTTTCCAGCTGCAGCTCCAGGTGCTGGTGCAGCTGCGGGGCTCAGAATTCTCCTCCTCTAGAGAGCCGAGGGTTCTTTTCATCAGGTCGATAGCTTTGTCTAGTATCCAGTTTGAGTGCTGTGCCCAACTTCCTTCCTCTTCACTAAAGTGCAGGGATTTCTCCATCTCCTGCTTCCATTCTGGTTGGTGAGGGCCCTGTCTCAGGGTCACCTTTCTCGATCTCTTTTCCCACTTGCCTTTCATTCCAACGCCCATTGACCATCAAGGTTTGTAGTTACGTGTCTCCACCACCTCTTCTCCTGAGGAGTATGACATTTCAGATCCCAACAGCTGGCAGGTTTTCAGTCAGGGGGAAGGCTCCCTCTCTGTGGGGGTTTCTCCCTTCCTTGCCTCATCGTCTGACATTGCCTTTTTTGCAAAGTCCCCCAGCAAGTTTCTTCCTTCCAGGTTGATTATTACTGCAGATCCTGTCTAATGTAAGGACCCACTTCAATCCACATCTTAAGAAAGCAGAACTCTTGGAAACGGTTTCTTCCAACAGGGATGTTTATTAAGAGAAATTGATAGCAGGCATGATAGACAGGATCTGAGGGATTCCTTACAAATCGATGTTTTAAAGTGTCCCTAAGCAGCCCCCCATCCCACAGTTCTTCCGAGCAATTCAAACCGGCAGATTTCTAAGTGTTAAGTCCAGGAAAGATAACATCATTGGCATGATCATTCAACATCTCCTCACACAGATCCCGGATGCTGCATCTTCCCCCCCCCCTTTCTCTCGCTGGCCAGTAAGGAGGAGAAGTTCAGAGGGGCATAGGATGAAAGGCAAATGGCTACATTGTTATGGTTAGCAGATCTGAAGCGAATCAACAAAAGGTTACTTTGTAATGAATAGAGGAAATGAAAGTAATAAAAAACCCCATGCATACCCCCCTCCCCCTTCGTAGTATGACAGGATCCAGGAGAGAGTAAGAATTGGTTTTATATCAGAGAAGATAGATAGAAATGAAATATAACTGGATTCTGACAGCTATGCTCTTGCATAACCTTTGCAGCTTCTAAGAATCAAACAATTTTTGGAGGCTACAAAGGTCAAAGAAGAGCATTTTCTGAGGTTCCTTCAAATACAAATGCTTTGTGTGACTGAAGACAGTTTCAGGTATGCCACAGGGGCTTGTGTCAACAAAAAAAGAACACTGATTTAATGGAAGCATGACAAATATGGTACCTCTTAGCGAGTGCTGAATCGTGAGGGATGTCAGTCTTGGGGAATGATGTGAGGTGGCCTTTTTGATTGGCAGTGGGGGTGCTAGGGCTGAAGTCAGAATAACAATAGGCCACCATTCTAGACAAGTAGCTGTCCAGTCTCTTCTTAAAAGCCTCCAGTGATGGAGCACCCACAATTTCTGAAGGCAAGCAATAGTTCTCACTCTTAGGAAATTTCTCCTTAGTTCTAGGTTGCTTCTCTCCTTAATTAGTTTCTATCCACTGTTTCTTCTGTTGCTTTCTAGTGCTTTGGAAAATATGTTGATCCTCTCTTCTTTGTGGCAGTCTCTCAAATATTGGAACACTTCTATGATGCCATCTCTAATATTTCTTTTCACTAGACTAGATATATCCAGTTCCTGTTCTTCATATGTTTTAGCCTCCAGCCCACTAATAATCTTTTTGCATTCTTTCCAGAGTCTCAACATCTTTTTATAATGTGGTGACCAAACCTGGATGCAGTATTTTAAATGTGGTCCTACTAAGACTTTATAAAGCAATAGTATTACTTCTCATGATTTTGATTCTATCCGTCTGTTAATGCAACCTAAGTTTGCATTGACTATTTTGGCTGCTGCTGCACATTGCTGACTCATATTTAAGTGACTGTCCACTAGAATTCCAAGATCCCTCTTGCAGTTATTACTATTGAGCTAAATACCACCTACTCTATACCTGTGCATTTGATTTTTTTTCTTACTTTTCTCTTCATTGAACTTCATTTTGTTAGATAGAGCCCAATGTTTAAGTCTGTTGAGATTCTCTGGATCTCGTGCCTATCTTCTGGGTTGTTGGCTATTCCTGCCAGTTTAATGTCATCTGCAAAATTGATAAGTTCCTTTTCTATTCCCTCATCTAAATCATTTATGAAGATGTTGAAGAATACTGGGTCTAAAATGGAAGCTTAGACTGCCCCACTGTTCACTTCCCTCCATGTAGATTAAGGACTACATGTTGACTGCAGTTTGTCAGCCAATTACAAATCCATATTGTGGTGATACTTACTAAAAAACAGGTTGTGGCATACTTTGTCAAATGCCTTACTTATTTAGGCACTTTGTCAAGCAATAAAATAAGATTTGTTTGGCATGATCTGTTTTTGACAAACCAATATTGGCTTCTGGTTACAACTTTGCTTGCTTCTATGTTTTTCAGATCTGTTGCTTAATTATGTTTCACGGAATCTTCCCAG